GAACACCAGGAGACCAGGCCCCCCCCCGCCCCCTGCAGCTGCCCTCAACAGCCAGGTCCAAACTGCAGTGTCTGGGCTGCTTTTGTCAAGCCTAGAGGCCAAAGTTGCTGCAGCCACCCAGTAAATACCCCACAGACCCACAGGTGATGTCCAGCTTGCCCCAGAACCCCCACCCTTGCCTCACACCCCTCCCCCCTGGGAAATACTAAAGCTGCTGCCCGCCCTGAGGCTAATATTGCAGGTGTGAGAGGATATCCTGGGTGATGAATCCAGACCACGTCCCCCTCCAAGAAGTGGGGCCAAGTGCATTTAGTTTTACAATGAAAATTCACCTCTGAATCTGAGAAGGCCCTTCCCCTGGCTGGAGAGAACGTGGGGTGTTGCCCAGCCCGTGCACAGAGCGTGTTCACCTCCCAGTCTGCCCCCAGCTACCATCAGAAGTCTCCATCAGCCCTGGATGCCGGCTTGTCCCTGCCGCATACTCCCGAGAGAGTCAGGGCCAGGGGCACCTCCTTCCTACTTCCCCACTCTCCCCTGCCCCCCTTCCAGTGCTAGAGCTGGAGTTCCGGGCCCGCGCAGTGAACGAGATCGTGAGTGTCAAGAGGGAATACGTAGTTCGGGATTTGAAGACCCAAGTCCCACCCCAGCAGCTGGTGCCCTGCTTCCAGGTGACGGTGAGTTGGAACGTGGCTGAGAAGGGCTGATGGGGGCGTGAAACTTGTGGTCAGAGGCCATGGTGCCACCTTTCAGCTGCCCAGCCCCCCATGCACCCCCCCACAAAGCCCCGACTTTCTTTCCAGTTGCGCCTGCAGAACACAGCGCTGAAGGCCATCATAGCTCTGCTGGTACCTGGGGAGGCGCTGCTGCTGGCTGACATGTGCGGGGGGCTGCTGCCCCTCAGGGCCACCGAACGCATGGCCTACAAGGTGACCCTGCTGCTGGGCTACTTTGTCTTCCACTCTTCCCTGGTGCAGGCCCTGCCCAGCTCCTCCTCCTGCAACCCACTGCTCAGTAAGTCCTGCGCCCCTCACCTGGCCCCGGGGGCGGGGGTGCTCTGCTCAGACCTGGCCCTGACCTCCCAACCCCCTCCTGCCCCCAGTTTACTACTTCACGGTGCTGCTGCTCTTGCTGTCCGTCAGCACCATGGAGACCGTGCTGCTGGCCGCGCTGCCGGCCTGGGGCAACCTCAGCGCCGAGAGCAGCCCCAGCCCAGCCCCGAGAGGGGAAGAGCAGGATCGTGGGGACCCAGGGCCACATCCTGAAGGTGGGCAGGGGCCCCTTCCTGGAGCCGGAGTAGAGGGAGGAATAAGGCCAGGAGCAGGTCCGATAGGGCTGCCCATGTAGGGCTGAGGGTCACCAGGTTGGTTAAGGGCTCCATGCATTCCGTCGGCCGGCTCCACTGCCCCTGGGCTCCACCATGTCTGTCCTTGGAAGACGCAGGTATGGAGCAGAGAGCAAGGGTAGCTTCCCTAAGGGCCCAGGTGACTTCAAACTCCCCGAGATAACACTATGCCTCTCGGAGCCTCTGTATAAGGGTGCTTCTTCGCTCAAGATGGCCTGGAGTGGGCCAGACCCCAACATTCACGGGTTGTAAATCTAAGGGAGGGAGAGATACAGGCTCACAGCCCCCGGGGCTCGCCCCCCCTGCCGCTCTGGGCCAACATGCTGGGTGAGCCCTGAAACACTGCCTGCCTCCTCCCCCACCAGAAGCTCCCGGAGTGAAGGGGTCAAGAAGGAGCTGGGCTGAGGCTGCTGACCACATCTTCTTCCTGGTGTATGTGGTGGGGGTAGTGTGTAGCCAATTCTTCTTCATTGGACTCTGGATGTGGGCAACATGCAAGTCTGACCCAGGCCCTGGCAAGGCCATACCCCACGGCGGGCAGCCCAGGCTGTGACAGGGCTGGGCCCGGGGCTGCAGAGGGAGGGCCATGACAGGGTCTCTGCAGAGAGGAGGAGGGAGGACGACTCTCTTCCCTAAGCCCGGAGGATCCTAGGCCACTCTGAGTTCTCCCTTCTGATAGCAGGCAAGCAGAGCATGAAATAAACCCATCACCCTGGTGCCTTGCGCCTGCGCCTCAAGGGTCTGTCTTCGCTGAGCTCAGCTATTCGTTCTTGTCCTAAGTAGGTGGGGCTGCCACTTTGCACCCAACCCCCACTGTGCTCCTGAACTTGTCACCACCACTGTGCACCAGTCATCTGGTCCCCATTTCTGCGACTACTGCTGCTCGGCCTCAGACCCGGGAGCACCGGGCCCCAGGAGACAGAAGCCTGGGTCAGGCCACACAGGGTGGCCAGAGCTTCTCAGAACTCCTTTTGCAGAGTGCTGGACCCCAGAGGGCGCGGGGAGGGCACTCCTGCTCCAGCCATGTAGGGGATGCCTGGGAGGTAGAACACCCCCGATTTTCAGGACCATGGGTGATGGGGAATACACTTTCCACACTACCCATGAGCGGGTCAATCCTGCTTGCTTTTTCTCCATGCCCTCTGGCTGTACTGTGGCCTGCCCCTCTGGGCCCTGCCCACGTTTCTGGGCTAGAGGGGGTTTTCTCCACCCCCAGCTCTGAACCGGGCCGGAGGTGGGCTGTTTACCCTCCCGCTCTTGTACACATGAGGGAGCTGAGGGCACAAGCCCTTTGTCTTTCCTCTCTGTCCTTTCCTGTCTGGAACCCATTACGTGGCCCAAGCAGGCTCAGGCTCATGAGACCTAAGGTGGGAAGGAACCCCGGTATTCTGGCACAGTCCTGGTCTGGGGGAGCTCCAGGAAGAAATGCAGACCAGGACTCAAGGGCTCGGGGACAGGGCTCTGGGCTGGAGAAGGGGTGGAAAAAGGTCCCTGTCCCAAAGGATGTCAAACTCACCAGGCCCAGAGTCAAGTTAACACTGATTTATCTGTCCAATAATATGGCTGATCTGGCAGAACCAGGCAGGGACAGCAGCAGGCTCAGGCAGACGTGTCAAAGAGGCGATCGATCATGTCGCCCACCTGTTCCACGCGGTACTTGATGTACTTCTCCGGGTTCTTGGTGAAGGGTACGCTGCCATACCTGACCAGGTGCTGAGGTCAGGGGCAGGCTGGCGGCCCCCCAGCTCCACCTCAGCCTCAGACACTCCTGACAGGGTGCCCCTGAGTCATGTCCCGGTCCGGCCCCACAGCAGAGTCCAGGGCACAGGTCTGCCACCCACACGTACACGACCCTCTGGGTTTTCTTGAAGAACAGAGCAGAGACCCAGCAGGGGAAGTGGGGGGCACAGGGCTGGGGAGGTGGAGACAGAGTGCTCACCTGTGCAGAAAGGCCCCGTAGGTCTCCCTGACAATGTTCTTCTGAGCTTGGCGAATCTTGTCTCTCTGTTCCATGTCAGGAATAGCCCAGGCCTTCTGGATCTTGCACAATTCTTCAAGGCCATCATTGAAACCCTGGCGCCAAAAAAGGTGGAAAAAGAAGTGACCCAAAGACAAAGACTCTGGGCCCATGTCCCTGTAACAGCAGCAAGGAGCAGTGGAGGGGAGGGGACCCCAACTCACCTTGAACCGCTCCTTGATCATCTGCCGCTCCTTGTCCCTGAGCTGGGGGTGGTGGGAGAGGGCCGAGAAAGTGTTCCTCAGAGCAGAACTGCCCGGCCACTGGCTCCTTCCCCAAACACCTGAGCCCAGCCCTTTCTCCTGCTGCCCTGTGGCCACAGGCATCCTTCGCTCATCCCAGTGGGATGCTTGTCCATTTTCCCCCAGAAATGTGACAAAAAGTATCACATCTGCTAGACACCCTTCCCAGACCAGGCCTTCCGCCCACCTTGACTCCTGGTTGGAATACAGGTAGATTCTTCTCAGCGATGTAGTCAGTCACCTTTAACCAGCTGCCAGGTGGGGAGAGAGGCAGAAGGTAGAGGAGGGACTGCTTCCCAGGGGCTGGTTTGTTTTTTTAAATCTCTTGATCTACTAGGGGAGGGGGAGGTCGGCAATGGATTTGGGTCACAACTAAGCAGAGCACAGCTGAGATTTTTCCTTGGGAAAATAAAATGTTCAAGCTGCTGGCTTTTAAAATTAAGAACAGGAAACAGAATTCAATAAATTGAACAAATACTAGCAGCTACACTTCACATCGATTTCCTGGAGAGTAAATACCAAGAAGCAGATGAGAAAGAAAGGAGGGAGCAGAGGACAGACAAAGCAAGGAGGAGGAAGACCACTCCCAGGAGACACACACAAAGGTAAACACACAAACCAAGGAGAAACGAGGATGAGGAGCAGTGGGAGCACGGCAGAGCAAGGTTCAGCAAGTTCAAGTGCTCTTGCAACCTTGCTCTTCGCTTGGCCTCACGTCCCCACACCTCTGTCAGGCAGCCTTCCCATTCTTCTTCGCCCGCACCCTAGGCACCGCACCCTCTGGAAATGCTGGCCAGAGCAGCCCCCAGGGAGCAGGTGGTGCTAGGGGCGGGTGGTCCCTCTCCACCCTGTGGGTGTGGTTAAACAGCAAGTGGAGGGCCAGGCCCACAGGGGAGCACTTCCCCATTACTGACCCCACTCTGCAGCTCAGACAGGAAGAGTGAGTGAAGGATACAGCCTGGGGGTGAGGGGAGGGCGTGGCGGGGCCCACCTGCGCTGGTAGGTCTGGATCTGCTGCTCAATGTGCTCCCGGTAGGAGCGCTCAGCAGTCTTCTGGGTCACGGCCACCAGCTGGATCAGCTCAGACCTGGGGGGGGGGTAGGGAGGGAGCAGAGGATCGAACTGGCTCTTGGGGCCCAAAGGTTGCTGGTCTCTGCAGCAGCACCCGTGGGGCCTGCCCTAAACTGCCCCAGGTCCTGGGACTCCAAGGGGTAAAGCGCTGCTCTCCCCGCCTGGCCAGGCAGAGGGCACAGGCAGCCCCGGAAGGGTGGGCGGGCGGACCGGAGCAGGTGGGAGCCGCGCGCACACAGACACCTGCAGCCACTCACTTCTCCAAGGCCTTGAGGATGTAGTTGTAGTTGTTGTGCAGGAAGATGGCGCTCAGAGCCGGGTCCTCATACACCTTGGACTTGCTCAGGAGGTTCAGCTGCAGGTTGCCCAGGACCTTACCTGCACAGGGAGGGTGTGGCTACATGCACGGGCAGTCTGACCAAAACGACCCAGTCCATGGCCCTCGAACCAACTCCAACCCTTGTCCTTGTCCCTCCTAACTTCAGACTCCACAAGCCTCAGGAGCCCTCTGCCTAGCCCCGCTCAGCCCCTAAACCGGAAGTTAGGTTACAATTCCAAAGGTCGTGGAGGGGGCTCGGGACTGGACCAAGACTAGCAGGAGGGCACAAAGGGAGGAAGGGAAAAGGCAGGGGAGGTGGGCGCCAGGGGCTGCCAGCTAGACAGCACTCACAGATATACGTGCTCAGCAGGCGCTTGCTGAACTCGGAGCTGTAGCTGGTGGCGGAAGAGCTGGTCTCTGGGAGGAGAGAAGGCCTGTTACTGCAGCCGTGGCAGCAGCCAGAACCCTCTGTGGCCTCCCCTCAGCCCCGGGAGCAGCTCTGGAAACCCTGGGAGGGGCCCCTGAGCCCTCCTCAGGTGGACTGGATGCAGAGGCGCTCAGGGCAGGGGGTGGGGGCTGCTGGGCTGCTGGGCTGCTGGGCTCCTTGCCTGCTGCAGGGAGCACTCCCTCAGCCTCTTCCCGGAACCCAGGGCAAGCCCCTCTATGGTGATGGGTGGCAAGGTTAATGAGCTGGCCTGTGATCAGCAGGAAGGCTGGCGGGACAGGAGTCGGACACCCCCTGCCCCCTAGCCCCGACTCATGCTGGGTGCTGTCTACTACTACGAGGCCCACTTATCCCATTTGTGAACAGCAGGGTCTTAGAGTAGGCTCCCCATGGCCTCTCCCCCTTCTCCCCTACTTCCCACAACCTCCTCTACCGGGCTCCCCTGAACAAGCAGGCAGCCAGGCGGCGGTGGTGGATGGGGAAGGAGGGGGCAGGCAGGTGCTGGGCTAGCCTGGAGGGTGCACTCAGGGTGCCGCCTGGATAAGCTCAGGGACAGAAAGTGGCCCTGCAGGGAGCTGAGAGAGTTGGGAGCACCCCAAAGACCCATGTCCCCCCTGACCCCCACTCCCCAGCAGGTCCTGAGTCTGTCCAGATGCCTCCGTCCCCAAGGAACCTCACCCATGGGGTTTCAGAGGGGTAGGATGGGGCTGCAGAGCCCTGCTGCTTACCTCGGGGGTCTAAAGGAATATTGTATGTGTCCCCAAGAACTACGGAGTGAAAGGCAGTGCACTCAGAGGGAAAGGGGGAGAGACAAAGAAGGGAGAAAGACGCAAAGTGCAAACACAGGTTAGAAACCGTGTCCCCCGAGTCAAGCAGACCCCTCCCCGCGATAGCCAGAACACAGATGGCAGGACACACCCTGGCTGGACCCCTGAAGGTGAGGGAGCATGCAGCCAAGTGGGGATCTGGAGAACTGCAGGCCAGAGGCTGCTCCTCGCTCCCTCGCCCCCAAACTGGAGGGAGGGGAGGGCCCGGGGGCCCCAACAAGTTGGGTTGGGTCTCGGTGCTCAGAAATGCCAACCTCCTTCCACGCCAACCTCCCCAGCTCCAGTGCCAGGGCAGCGGTCAGCGGGGAGACACCAGGCTGGCCCTGAGACGCCAGCCCACGGGACGGTCAGCTGTGTGAGACTAATCGGGAGGACGGGCGGACACAAGAGCAGGTGGAGAAATGCGGAAGGAGGGGCGAGGCACGCAGGGCGTCTTCGAACCAGGGAGTGCCACTCTCCAGAGCGAGGACGGTAGAAGGAGCGAGAAGGGAGGGAGGTCGGGTCAGGAAAGGCACAGTCAAACCCCACTCCACAGGGCAGGAGGGGATCTCTCCCAGAGGTGGCCAGTCGCCCCATGTCTCCAGACAAGTGGGAGGAGTGGGGGATGGGTAGGGGGCCCCACTGGCAGCTGCCGAGTACCTTGGGAGGCCAGCATGGCCCCTGCCGTCTCCTGGAAGTCCAGGAGCTGCTGGAGGAAGAGGATGGCCTGTGTGGGGAAAAAACAGGTCCAGGAAGAAGGTCAAGGGCAGGACCTCAAGGTCACATCTCCTCCCAAACGCACCCCCTTGGACCATTCCAGGCGGGTGCAGGGCCAGGGGTCTGCCCCGTGAAAAGAGTGGTTGTAAGCTTCCTGCCCTACTGGAGACACTAAGTACTTTGCCACCCATCCTGCCACCAGCATGCCGGCTCTGGGCCAGGCCAGGCCCTCTTCCCCTCCCCAGGCGACCTTGGGCAGCACCTACATTGCTTGTGAGCTCATGCACGGTGCCATCCTTGGGCATGTTGTATTCCTTGTCCGGATCATTCTGTGGAAAGAACAGCCCAGTTTCCTGAACCTGCTCCCAAGGCCTTGGGCCCCACCCCGGGCCCCAGGCGGTCTGCTCTTGGTGCCACCTCCTGGCAGACAGGGGTCAGGGCACCCCTCAGGCACGCAGGCCAGTGAGACAGGACAGGAAAAATGGGGCAGGAGCGTCACCCCTTAGGGGCTCAGGAGCTCCCTGGGAAAGAAAGGGAGGCAAGTGGGTACTGACAGGAGACTAGCAGCCCCTCTTGGCGGCCTGCCCTCTGCAGGAGCTCCCCAGGCAGGTGCCTGGTGGTCCTGCCCACAGCTCCTAGGGCCGCAGGTGGCCCCGGAGAGAGGGAGAGCACCTTGATGTTGTCGGCAAAGTCCTCCAGGGCCTTGGCTCCAACGGTCTCCATGGAGGTGATGAGGCCGGGCAGCTTGTTCTTGGTGCTGGCAGCCGTCCCCTGAGGAAGCACACAGCTGCAGAGCGGACCCCGCTCCCTACCAGCTGCTCCCCTGCCCCTCACTGCCTCCCCTCCTGTTCGGTCACCCCGGGAGGGAGTCCTCTCACCCAGGGCCCTGCAGAAGCTGCTTCCACCCAGCTTCGGAGCAGATGTGTGAAGGCGGAGAAGCCAGGCCAGGCAGCACGGTACCCCCCTCCATGTCCCCAAGGGCCTTCCCGCCCACATACCTGGAGCACCTGGTCAAACTCAGGCTTGGTCTGCTTGAGGTGCCGCAGAATGGGGAAGACGGTGAGCACGGCAGAGAAGTCGTGCCTGATGATGGCCTTCCGGGCAGCAGACACGATGTTCTCCCCTTCGAGCATCAACCCGTCCAGCGCGTCCTGAGAGAGCAGAGCAAGGACGCGGCTCACAGAGGGGGCAGAGCGGTGAGACCTGCCTCCCAGGGACGGTCAGGGCCGCTGGAGGGGCTGGGGGAAGCCAGCATGCCCCAGCAGGGGACGGCACCCCCCACTCCCCCCGCACACACATGGTGGAGATGGTGGGTGGCTACAGTTGAAGGCTACAGGCCAAGAGGTCTGGCCCAAACTCCAGCTTCTGCAGCCGCAGCTTTTGCGGGGGCATCTGGTTGGGGCCCAGGAGCAGGGTGGGGCGGGGCAGGACCTGGATCAGGGAGTCAAAGGTCTTTTTCTGATGGTGCTCAGGGATGACGTCCATCAGCAGCTGGTACTCGCTCTGGGCCAGCCTGACGAAGGCACTGACGCAGTGAATGTAGGCGTCGGTCTCCACGTCCAGCGTGTCGTCTCTCCCTGGGGGGACAGTGGTGCCCCTGAGCTGCTGGTCTGGGGACAGCCGCTCTCCCTGCTGGGGGGGCATGGGTCTCCCCAGCTCCTGGCCTGTAGCCCAGGCGGACTGTTCTGGCAGAAAGCTGAGAGCATTCCAGCAGGCCCGACTGCTTCGAAGAGAAAAAACAGGGCTGAATCCAGCCTTTGTCCTGGCTTCATTTTCAGCTCTGCCAGACAGTGTTTATGTCCCAGAGCATCAGGTACTAGAGGTGGTGGGGAGATGGATGAAGGGATGAAGAGGGAAGAGCCCTAAATCGGCTTCCTGGCTATGGTGTACCTGTCCCCAGGACTGAGGATTCTGAATTGTACTAGAAAGAGGGCAGCCACGGGTGGGTGCCCACCTCAAAGAGGCAGGCACCGTGGTCACCCATCTGAGAAAATGCCAGGCCACTGAAGGCAGTTCTCAGCCCCGCCAGACGTGGAATGTCTAAGAAGGCAGTGGGCTGTGGCTAGGAGGCTAGCTGGCATGGGGTCAAACTTTGAGAAGGGGCGATGAGTCCCAGAAAGGGAGGGCTTCTGCTGGTCAGCTGCCCCAGGAGACCCGGGTCCCACTAGCGGAGGCTGGGGCAGGGAGTGCCCATAGGCAACCTGGTCCCACATGCAAAGGAACGGGCTCCGAGTCAGAGCTTCGGAGCTGTTGTTGGAGTCAGATGTCAGGGCTCCCTGCCCTCCAGGGAGCCACCTTCCAAGTAGCGGCAGCTTCTCCCCTTGGCCCAGGCCCCGAGAGCCAGGCATACACTCCCATCTGGAGAGAGGCAAGGAGACCTAGTGCCCAAAAGAGAGACTTGAGAGAGAGAGAGGCAAACAGGCCTGGCTCATCCTCAGAGCAGAGCCCTCCGGGGACGGCGGCCAAGGCAGCAGTGGCTGCCCTCGGGCTGGGCTGCGGTACTCACCAGCCAGCGGCCCGTGCTTGTCGTTCAGGGCCTCGGACAGGTGCTTAACTCGGAAATCATGCTCGTGACCTAGCGAGACGTCGGCCGTACAGACACAAGCAGCGTTTATCCAGGGGCTGGGCGGGCTGCCCCTCGGGGACAGGGAAGAAGCCCTCGATCTCCAGGAGGGGATGTGAGATGGGGGGTAGGCAGGGGAAGGGGCACCGGAGAGGGCTCTGAGCCCCTCCTCTGCCACGGACCACCTTGGGAACAGCCATTTCAAGCCTGACTTGCAGTGCCCAAGACCGTCCTTGAGAGCTGGTTCTCTGAGCCCGAGGCCAAGAGAAAGCCTGTGGGACGACCAAGGAAGGCTCTGGAGAGCTTCTGGCAGCTGCGGAGGGTCTGATGCTCGGCCCCAGGGGCTTTACCCACCTCACCATGTTTGGGGAGACTCGCAGTTAGAGAAATGTCACTGCTGAGTGAACGAGACAGCCTCCTTTGGTTCCCCAGGGTTATTCTTTGAAAGGAAGGTCAGGTCCACCAGGGCAGGGCTGTCCTTCCTCTGACAGGAGGCAAGGAGGGACATGGCCTACAGGCTGCCCATCCCCCTCGTGGCACACACTCCCCTTTCTAAAGCTGGGGGAGGTGGGGGTGGCCCGGAGGCCTAGGCCAGCTTGGTCCTGCCACTGCTGGTCTGAGCGTGAAAGGGCTGCCCATAACAAAGAACTTTCTCTGAGTTCAAATAGGAGACAAGGACAGAGACAGGGAGGGAGTAGGAAGCCTCAGGGAGGGCAGAGCTGCCGTCAGCCAGACAGGACCAGGCCGAGGCCACGGCACCTGCCCTGCGCCAGCTGGAGTGAGCGGCACCAGGCACCTGCTGTCCCCACCCCTGCCCCCTCCCAGGGACTCTCCCGTGGCCCTCCTGGGGGCTTGGAGGCTCTGCCCTGCCACGAGAGTGCACACATGGTGGCGGAGGAGGGAACAGGAGAAGAACACAGGGTGATTACCTTCCAGAGGAATGAGGTTAGAGCCCCCCTTTTTCCCATCTAGACCATGCTGGGAATATTGTTTCAGAAGGTTCTGAGCCTTACGGATCGTGCCTGTCACCAGAACCACACAGAGAGGAGACAAGAAGACCTAGGAAATGAGTGAGAGAAAACAGCAGCAGGCCTCCACCTGCCCCCCTCCCCGAGCCCCATACCCAGCCCCCCAACAGTGAGCATGCCCACATGCCATCTCTCCAGCAGGCCCCTTCCAGGACCCCCCGGAGGCGCTACAGATGGGCAGGAAGGAACAGGCACGGGGCATGCCCCACACAGAGCTCCCGATTCTGCTCCTGACCCTCATGGTTCTGGATTTGAGTTCTCTTTAGGAAATGCAGTGGGTGAAGGAGATGAGATGGGCAAAGAGCCATCAGGAGAAGCCAAAAATAAAAAACACTACTGAGTGGCATTTAAGTCGGAATAGACCAGGCTCAGGATGGAGGAGCCGGCGACGAAGCTCTCACACCCAGAGGGCACAGCCAGGTTGGCGGAGTCTGGGGACCCGAGGCCGAGAGGCCCATGGCCCGGCCCGAAACACTAGGAGGCCGAGCTCCCGGGCATGCTCAGTGCTGGGACATGGACACACGGAGGTCGATGGAAAGCAGAGCCCTGGAGTTGGTGAGATAGGACTGAGCTTCCTGGGAGAGCGGTGCCCAAGACAGAAGGCTTGGAGACCCTGAGGCAACCTGGCCCCATGCACCAAAGTCACCTGAACCCCCAAAGCAATCGGAGAAAACTCAGAAGCTTGGTTGGGGGTTAACGGAAGCAGGATGGTAGATGGTGGCGGGATTGGGGGGGGGCGGCATGCTCGCGGCATGGAGGAAAAAAACAACAGTTAGTATCAAAAGTGAAATCAACAAAAACAAAACCGCAGTGCCTACAGCCTCCGGGGTCAGCCACCTCTGTGGGAATGAGACACCTCGGGGCAGAAAATGCGGGAAATAAAATAGCATTTAAAACAGACGAGGCCAGGGCGCCTGGGTGGCTCAGTTGG